CTTTCATTCAAAGTTAGGATTTCTTTTTCAAAAGAATTTTTTTAAGTCCTATTTATTAACTTTGTCTCTTAAGAGTAATATTTTGAAGTCCTACGTCAGTCAGATGTTTTGGTACCCCAAAGGTTAGTGATAAAAGTTCAAATGCTGATTATACTTTTAGAGGCAGAATAATGGCTGGGCTCCAGTTGAAGGGAGGGCCCCAGGGGGGCTGGTTGGGCCCTCTTTTATGATCTTGGGACTAGGCACACTTATGTTTTAAATACTCATTGGACTAGTTACTTGTACTCTGTGCCTGTACTGAAATTACACTGCCGTTAAGTTCCTAAAACAAAGAGTGTGAGAGCGCATAAGAGGGAGAGAGAGGTGGATATGAATGTGCCAAAAGGACCCACCAACTGAAAGATAATGACAGAAAATGTTTTGAGGTATCAGAGGAAATGCTTGTGAAAAAAACACTATAACATCACAAGTTCTGAATCTACATAGGCGAACCTTTTGGCTAATATATTTTAGCAAAAACACTTTTAGTTAAGTATGGTTTAAGATCAGAAGCATTAATGTTGGTGAATAGTAGAACTGAAAAGGAAACGGCCCTGGACATAAAATCTCTTGATATGAGTGAAGCTTCACCGAAAGAATTAAGCCTATACACAAACAGTAAGGTGCTCAAAATACTTGCTTTTACAAGTCCTTTATTAAAATGCTGCCAGCAGATATGTGATGCCAACTTCTGGCTCCCACCCTCTGCTGAGGGGCATGGAGGAGAGTGCTCTGTGAAGGGCGGCTAATGAGTCTGAGACTACAGAAATGTCACAGGAGTGAGACCTAGGGGTGAGTAGTCACCATCTAAGGCAGAGAGCACATCAAGATGGCCAACAAGGACATATCGATACCAAACCATATTTCAGAACACAGCCAAGCTCTGAAACTAAAGATTTCAACAGCCAGGAAATGCAGGGGAAAGGCTACATCAGAAGTGATCGCTTCTAAGGGAAGGATGGCAGTGAGCACCAAAAGCAGCTGAAAATCAGCCAGGGTCCTCAGCCTGAGTCTCTCTGAAGAGGAAACCAGCCAACTGCCTGCCCACAGCTGACTGGCGCAGCAGTGATGTGTCTACAGCTTCCTTTGCATTCAGCCAGGCAGGAGTGCCCACCTGACAGCTGGTTTCTGCAGACATTAAGATGCACTGAACTTGGACACATTCTCTGAGAGGAGCCCAGAGGATACAGGTGTGAAGTCAGGAGCTTTTCTCTGACCCTTGTGATGACTGGTCTCTAAATGACCCCCATCACCTTTCACATGCTGTCCTTAAAGAGTAAATTTCCAGGAAGTAGATGCAATTTGTTGAACTGGGAACAGAGTACACAAATAAGTCGGGCTTTAAAGTGAAGGAATTTAAGAAAATTAAGGCAATCAGAAAAGACTAATCTTGAAAATATGAGAAAAGAAACCTCAGAAACTTCTGGGTGGTCTTGTGCAGAAGGGAAAATACCCATAATTAGACTAATCCATGGTCAGGTAGAGGGAATTCCAACCCATGAAATTCAAGCCCACAAATAGGTGTTTGCATTTCTAATCAGCTCACGTAACATGGTGTTTTCAAAGCTCACCATTTCTAATATCCAAGAGTCATCTTTTAGTCACTATGCTGAATGCAACGCATTCCGTCAGGAAAAAACCAGCCTCTTCCTGACATTAAATATGTTTAATCAGGACGATTTATACTGGCACTTTGGGCTTTCATGAAAGAAAGGCATTCTTACATGCTATTTACAGTAATCATAATACTCCAAGATTTAAAGTGTAGTGTTTTACAGTGTTTGACAAGGAAGTCAACTTGTCTGTGTTTTTACTTCGTTACAGTGTTTTGGGGGGAATTAGTATTCAGAAATTGTTTTCCTGTACACAACAGAGTTAACACTAGGTACAGCTTCTGGCTGTGCAACTCCTTTACACACTTGCTCCAGTGCAATCAGTAAATGTGATTAATGTTTAAGTGCTTGTCCTAACAGCTAAAGGCCAAATCACATGCAGGATCATAATTATACTCTAGGAAGTAGGTGGGTTTGGCTTTAACTGAGAATGAACCCAAAATCTGGAAGCTACTTGAACTAATAGTGCCTTTGTAAAATACCCAGTACCCTTCCACATAAAGGAAACCAGGACATTTTCCAAAGATAGCTGTTTGGTGCAATGCTAAGAGCCTTGAAATTCTTTTTCAAAAGGATCTAAATCTTTCTTTGCCAAGTTCTAAAGGTTTCCTCTGACTTCTCCTCTGGGACCAGTCAAATTTACACACATTCCAGCTCCACTTGAGTGCAGTTCAAGTTCCTATTTAGGTATTCGCTGTTAACCACAGGTCTCATGCTTCATGGCTCTTTTGACATGTGTTTATTTGAAAAGGTAAGTCTATGAACCGGGGTCTTCCTTGTATTTGACAAGTTCTACCTGACTAAGGGAAACAGAGGGAGGCCCCCAGCTCATAGAGTAAGGGGGGATCATTACCTGGACTATTGCCCACCTCTCCATCAGTAATAAAACTCAAGTGTCAAGGCAGGACAACTGACTCTTTCAACAGTTCAGATTTCCATCAACTTCAAACTTAAATACAATCATCAGAACTCAAATAAGCAGAACATTACAAAACCCACAAATTAAAGCCAAAACCCATTTTTCCACAGAAAAGCTAAAAAGGACTTGAACTTTAACCCTGGCACCTAGCAAGTGCTTAGGACTCTTAGCGCTCTCACTTCATTTATTCCTCTCCTTAGTTACCTGTCTTCATTTATTTACTTAATATCACAGTGATAATTCATGTTAATTATTCATTCTAATTTAGTTTTGTGTGTTTTTAGAAGCTACTTAAATCTTCTTTGGGATAAAAATGAATATTATGTTTGAACTACAGGAGGTGCCCTCAATCCTTCACTCAAAGCTTGTTTACTCTTTTCTATGTGCAATTTTAATAAATTCAGTCATCTGATTTCATAACACACAGCAACTTAGAAACCACAGCTGACAAAAGCAGTGATCATCTCTTGATGTAGCATAGCATATTAAGCCTATTTAATTGATGTTGAAAGCAACAGTAAATGAATAAATGAGTAAATTGTTAGGCAAGTGGTATCTTACAGCTTCACAAGATAGAAACTATTTAAAAACAAATATAAGCAGCAAAATCATTTGGGCTCCTGGCCTAGTTTACACTGCAGATGGGGGAGAGAGTGCCTGGGAAGGAGACCTCCCCACAACAAGTTTGAGTACCATCAGGGTATCTGAAAACTAAATTAAATTCTGACATTTTCTAACTAGGGATAGTGTCAGATCTCACAAGTTAAGGGTTCCATTACGTTCCACTTAAGACACCAGCCCCAAGTCCAAGTTATCATCAGAGTTTCCAATGGCCCAACTCCTTGGATTTCAAAAGATAGTCTAGGTTACCTCTTAGCTATACTTCTGATCAGCTGGATATAAATCAGATCCCTTCTATGGGGGCCCATTAATTTGCTGGAGCAGCTAACAGAACACAGAGAACATTTTACTTACTAAATCATCAGTTTATTATAAGGCTGTAAGTTAGAAATAGCCAGATCGAAGAGGTGCATAGCACAAAGGTAAGGGTAAGTATGCAGAGCTTCAAAGCCCTCAGGGAACATGCCATCCTCTGTGTGATCAATGTCATTCTCCCCAAATCCTCATGTGTACACCAAACACTGTTCTTTTAGGTTTTTATGGAGGCTTCATGATATTGGCATGATTGACTCAAACATTAGACATTGCTGAATGATCCAATCTCCAGACCCTCTCCCTTACTGAAAATTCCAACCCTCCAATCACCTGGTTGAGACTCCTGGCAACCAGCTTCCTCAGCTGGAGCCCCAAAATTATCTATTAACATAATAAGGCATACCTTTATCTCTCACCTCAGGGGATCCTAAGGGTTTTAGGAACTCAGTGCCAGAAACTGTGACTGTGACCAAATTTGTATTCTTATTATAAATCACAGAAAAACATAGCAGTTTGGCCTACTGGACATGGGTGTGATCTCTATGATTCTTAGAAGCCTTTGATGGTACAGAACTTATAGTTACTATATTGATATGTTTGGCTCTACTATTTCTACAAGAAAGAAGTCATAGTATACTTGAAAGTCTTTTTTAAAGTGTACAGGGCATATCCTTGTCTTCTTAAGCAACTTTCTGTTTGATAATAAAGTTTAGAAATATTCAATTTAAAGGAAGGATAATTTTAATCTAGAAAAATTCCCTTCTTTGCAATATCATCTTTCCAGACTCTGCTCCAAAACTGGAGTATTGAGGAACCAATATTTTAAATTGACTCAGGTGGGAAGGATATCTCAGGAGAAGCAATACAGGTAGAGAATGCTGACAATACAGAGCAAGGTTATCCCTGACTTAGTCATGATGGGTGGCAACTCCAGTGAACCCTAACAATGTGCTGGAACTCCTGGAGTGTGCTCCTGGCAATGTGGGAGTGAACACCAAGCCTCCAAACAATTCACCACCAAGTAACTGCCAGTTAAGAACCTGAATTGAATGACTCATAGAACAAGCTGGTCACGGTGACCAGCCTGTATGCCAAACCTTGCTCCACATCTTACAAAAAAAAAAAAAATGATAACAATAATAATAATAAAAATAAATTTTCTGGTAGTATGTGCTGAGTATTTTGGACAAAGGATGCCCCATCACCAGAAAACATTCTATAAGCATTATCATCCTCATCATTTTATTATTGACTTGATTCCCCTATTAAGTAAATCACAGCTGTCAACTAGGGCAGCCACAGACACTAGATTTCCCCAATGACAGTTCTGGCCAATACTTGAGTACAAGGGGAAGGACTGAAGTTTCAAGAGAATGCCTATTTATTATCAGAAGTCTGTTTTCCCAGTTAAATGGAAGCCACCTCAGCTAGTAGGCTGAACCCCACACTTAACTTTCTAATTACAAAGATGGATTTTTTTGCTTTGTTTGCAGAACTATGCCAGACTCATTCCTGGAGCTACAGTGGGGCTACTTCAGAAGGATTCTGGAAACATTCTCCAGCTGATCATCTCTGCTTATGAAGTAGGATTTTTTTTTTTGCATTTTTTTTTGATATTCAAAAACTAAGATGTTTTAGGTAAATGCACTCCCATTTATTGGAACAGAATGTATATCTAAAGAAAATATCTGCATTAATGACACCAAAATTTAAATTCTGCTCACTTCATTTGCAGCTAGTTTTCCTGAAAGGTTGGGCAGAAGGTGGAAAACAACATAAGCCTAATCAGAATGTGGAGATTGTTTTGATAACAACCAACCACAGAGCTGTCACTTGCAAAATTTTAATTCTATCAGAAAATATTCCATGAGTCATACAATTAAGCTCCCCTCTTCTCTCCCTAAAAAAAAAAAACTAAGTTTAAAATGCCAATGAGGAACAGAGCTTTGTGGCTTAATGAGACCACATCATAAATCTAGTACAAAACACCAAAAGTACCCAGAACACACCACTTTGCCACCTTTGAGAGCCAGAGGAATTTCCCATTGTTTTTATAGACAAATACACACACACAAATATATGCATATATATACATTTCTGCCTTGATTTTGTAAGTTATTACCTGAGGAAAGACTTGCTTCTTTAAAATAAAATATATCCCCATAAGGTTGCTACATTCTTTTTCTTTGTTCCCGTTTGAGAACTCATTATATGAGTAGTGGATGGTTAGTTACCAATCCTTTTATTTCAGTTCCTAAATATCAACTCCTCCTTTTGGCTTTTACTTATAGGACATACTTGCATACAGGTGCACAACCTCCCACCCCCAACACACACACACACACACACACACACACACACACACACACCACATAGAAGATGAAGTTCTAACCTAGGACAGGAATGAACAAAGCAATTTTTATAAATTGGTAAAGCTGCAAATATTTGCCCCGATCAGCAATTACATAACAACAAATGAATAGCATCCTAATTTTGAGGTTTCTGATTGCAACTTATTGATCCAAATGTACTTTATGCCAATATTTAACATATACTGAGCCAGTGTTCCTTAAATAAGTGATATTTCAGAGTCATTTGGGAAGATTTTTAAAAAATAGGTGTGTCCAGATTGTTCTCAGATATTTTAGGATGTTAAGACAAGGGAGGTCCATGTATTTTGAAATGATGCTGATGTCACCCCACTAATTTGAAACTCCCCGTAAGGGGGGAAACAAAGTATTGCTTCTCAAAAACTTCCTTAGAGATTAAATACAGATATGTCCATTAAAATTATAAAAGGGTTTTTTTCTCCCATTCATCCTCAGAAACTTCAGTTTTCTTAATTCACATCAAAAATTAATCACCACATTAGCTCATGCTTGAAATTCTTCCAGACAGGAAGCTTGTCAACAAAACACTATAAAAACCTTCCTCCCTCTCATGCAGTAATTAAAGTTTTAATGTGTGAAATGAAATAAAAGCACATAGCAATCCTTCATGGAATTAGAACTTTTCTAGAGTATTTCAGTTTTCTTTACCCCAGCACTCTCAAGTGTCCGGCCACTACCATGAAAGGAATTCATCAAATTAGTAAACAATGAACTGTCAAAAGTATTTCCCCTCCTGCCTGAACTGTCAGATCCATGCCACAGCTTGCTGTCAGTCATGACTCATTTTATGGTCCTGAATCACTCGCATAACTTAGAGCAGTTGAAACTGAGGCAACATTTGAATTGAATCTTGTGTCCTTATTTTACTGTCTCAGAGATACAAAGAAATGTCTAGATACAAAACAATCTTGTTTTGGAAATTCATGGTTCACTGCGAGAAGTAGGTGATATATATCTTGGAACGCATTCAAAATATTTTTTTTGGTTATTTTTAAATAGGTCTCATTTATTTTTTAATTTTTAAATTCTAAAAGGACTTTAAATATAGGGATCTGCAGACTGGATTTCTTTACAATTTATGAGAAGAGAAAGGGAAAGTATATATTGAGAGAAAACAAAATGCTTCTGATTTGTGGGCAAAGGCAGGCAATTTGTTTATATTTAGTAGCTATGAACTTGAGCTCAGTATTTTATATTGCGATCCATATTGATGTTAAAAAATCAGATGCGCCTATACACACATGTATGCACATGTGTTTGCAATACACTATATATATATATGTTCATATGTGCATATATTATGTACACATTTTATTATGTCAATACAGGTCACCTTTTCCATTCATTGGCCTCTCAGTTTCTGGAATACCACTTCTAAAATCATTTTGGTCTCTCCCTCCATTGTATTCCTTCTTCACTCCCTGTACTCCCTCCTGGTAGGAACTGTTCTTGTCCTTTCCTAAATGTCTTGTCCTATTTCCATCTTTCATTTCCTACATTTTATTTTCAACAGAACAACTAAAACATTGTCACTTCATATCACTCTTCTGTAGATAACCCTAAGTGTTTTCTCATATTGCACAAAGCAGAACGCAAATTCCTGCTAATAAACTACTGGAAAACCACTAGACAGTTCCCCTCCACCTACCACTACCCTTTGAGTTAGCTTCCTGTTACTTCTTTTTACCCTGCTCCAGTACAGAAACCCTGGTCTCCTTGCAATTCTATTTCCAGAACAACCAGAAAAGCTCCTGCTTGGGACCTTGGCAGTTACTGTGCCCTTCTCCTGAAATACCCTTGATACACACCTGCATGACTAATTTCTCCTCACTTCCTAGAAATGTTACCTTCTTTGTGACCCTACTTTGATAACTTTAAAAACTGCAGCCTATACTCCTTAGCACACATTCCCATAATGTTCGTTATCCCACCCTAACTTTCTTCTACAGCATTCACACCTACCAGCACGCTACAGAATTTTTTAAAATATCTTTGTTTTCCAACCCCAGAATATAAATTATAAGAAATCCGCTATTTTAGTGGGGTTTTTTGGTTTGTTTCCCAAGCACCTAGAGCAGCATCTGGGACATGGTAGGCCCTCAAATATTTTCTGTATAAATATATTATATAGCTATTAGAAATGAGACAAATTCTAACTTGGCAGAATTTGAAATCTTAAGACATGATGGGAATAATCCTTAGGAATGAGACATGACCGTTCAATCTCTGATGAAGACCATATAATCAGAAGTCAACCTGTGTCCATCTGTTGAAGGAAGATATTATCAGAGATTTTTTAAAAAGAGGGGGAGCGATTAGCAGGCAAAAAGAACAACTTAAAAGGTACTGTTAGAGACAGAATTTGGAGGACAGAGCTATCTTATGCAATTAAAATTATACTGAAGGATAATTTGAAGCTGAATATACTTTTAAAATGCCAGCAATAAAAAAGTACATGGACTCAACTCCTTTTGGATGTATTTAATTTATATTTAATTCAATTATTTTATAAGTTTCTTTTATACTTTTTAATTATGGTTTTGTCCCCCCAAATAGACTTTCATTTGGTAAGAGAACAATGAACAGGAACAAAATAGCTGAATAAAACCAGCTTTCCCCAAACAGCAATCTTGTCATTCCTCCTTGATATGCTTCTTCCTGAAAACCTTGACTGTCTCTTCCCTTTGCCCTAGCCCACCTTAGAACTACCCTTCCTCCCTTCATTCTACACCATCACATAGATAAGCCACCCCAATTTCCTGACTCTCACGAAATCAGACTGGGGATATGCCACAGCTTCCCTGCTTTCTTGACTCATGGCTTCTACCTCCAGTAGAGGTCCTGCAAGCATCTTCCAAACAGCTATATTTCCAGTGGAGTGGGATGTTGCTTCAAAACTTCAGGAATCATTTCACAAAGCACAAGATCTTAACTAGAAGCTTGGGGCTTTTTTTGTCTGTGGCCTTCCAGGACAGAATTGCAGGCTTGGTCTCAGCCCCACTTGTCTCTGTTCCATGCCCCTGACAGCCCTGTGCTCTCTCTCCTCTGGTCCCTGAACTTCTCATCCACAACTCCTTTCCCTCCCTGCCCTAAACCACCCCTGTCCCCACCTCCCCCACCTCCTACACACACACACACACACACACACACACCCCTAAATTCCACATGGGCTTAAGAACCAGTCTTCAACCTTCACTGACCACCCTCTTCTGAGCTGTTCCAAACTCATCTGTATTAACATACAATACCAATGTACCATTAACTATTTTACTTAGTTCCACCTTGGTTTTTTTCAATGAAAATCATGCTGAGGGCAGAAATATAGCCTTATACTCATTACCTGAGACTTGATTCTACACTACATGTTCAGTAGGTACTTGATAAACTTCACTGATGATCTGAAGTCAGTTTTCTCCCGTATTTTATCATATCTAAAATTAGTTTCCCTTTTATAACAGTCTCCCAGTTGCTACTAGCTTGATAGTTTTCAATGCCTGCATGTGTATGAACATGGCTGTAACTAAGAACATAATTTTCATTTCAGTTCATTATGTACACTGTTGGTACTATGTGTTGAGTTTAATTGACATTTCAAAATATCTTCAAAAAGTTTACACCATAAATCAATATTGAAATGAAAAGTTATTGTACATACTGCGATGTACCAAAACAAAGTGGCAGGAAATAAATTCAGTATCAGTGAAGCAAATATCCATTGTTGGAGGACTGCAAGTCTATATTTTCCCTTCAAAGCAACAACCAGCTGCCTTGGCAGACCAAAGAAATAATAAGACATACACATAAGTGAAGGAAGTTATTGTTGTATTTTGTTATTGAAATACAAATAAAAGAACAGCCTTTTATATGCAAAGCAGCGCAACTCAAAACTGGAATTTATCCAATCCCTCAGAATGGATAAAACAATATTCAAAGCAGTGATAGACTGGCAATATTGATTTGTGTTGCACAGGACAATGTGCAGTATTTTTCATAGTTTAATTGCCAGAAATAGCATTTTTACAATCGATGGTACTTTAGATTGTTTCAAGTGTGTGTGTGTGTATCTGTATGTGTGTACTCACTTTTCTGCTTGATATGGTGAATTTTTTTTTAGATCTGATGTAGTGGTATTCATTTATATTTTCATGACATGATTCACAGATTTTTTTTTTTTACTATTTCTTTGTGGTTTTATTTAAATCTTTATGTCTCAACTGAAGGAACTTCGGTCTGAGGTAGAGCTGGAAGTATTAGGAGATACAGAAGGACTCAACCTGTCATTCACCGCTATCTGTAACAACGGGACCCTCTTCCCACACCAAAAGAAATGCTCTCACATGAAGGTGGGAGACACAGTAAGTAGATAGCCAGTAGAGCATCTGAAAAATATATTCAGATAAATCAGAATTTACCTGATGGTCCTGAACCTAGAATTTTCCTTTCAAGAATTTCAAAAATGATTTTCAAAGACTCCCTAATAAATGCTTCTGACAAAACTGATCCCCCCATGCAGCTTTGTTTCTTCCCAGGGATTCTGGTGGATGGAAGCAACAGATAATTAGTATTTTCTCTTCCAGGCTTCATTCAATGTGACTGTGAGCATACCCAACTGTGAGAGAAGAAGCAGGCACATTAGCATAAAGCCTGTGGGGCTGGGGGATGCCCTAGAAATACTTGTTAGCCCAGAATGCAACTGCAACTGTCAGAAAGAAGTGGAAGTGAACAGCTCCAAATGCCACTATGGAAACGGCTCCTTCCAGTGCGGGGTGTGTGCCTGCCATCCTGGTCATATGGGTCCTCGCTGCGAGTGTGGGGAAGACATGCTGAGCACAGACTCCTGCAAGGAGACCCCGGATCGCCCCTCATGCAGCGGAAGGGGTGACTGCTACTGTGGGCAGTGCATCTGCCATTTGTCTCCCTACGGAACCATTTATGGGCCTTACTGCCAGTGTGACAATTTCTCCTGCGTGAGACACAAAGGGCTGCTCTGTGGAGGTAGGCTATACCTAAACCCATTTTACGCTGTAGTTGTGCAAGAACCAAGCAGGAGCCTTGAATTCTTTGCAACTCTTACAGTTGCTTCAGCAAAGTGGGTGCTCAAAGTACTTGGTTGTCAACCAAGTGGGTAAATCTTTAGACCCAAGGTTACGGATCTTTTCGTATTCTTTCTAGTTCTTATATTCACCTAGGTTTCATTTCACCAACTGAATTTGCATCTCTCTTATTATTTTCCCTAAGAGTAAGTATGTAAGAGATGAAAAAGTATTCTCTGGTTATTACCCAGACTCTGTGAAACTGAATGAAATCTGAACTCCATTATCTTCCAGATTTTGCTGGATCAGGTTGCTGGGTATCTGATCCAACTTCTAAATACCTGTTACTTTGGAGAAATACAAAGCTCAGCTGCTAACGGAGCACACTGCGAAGAACTAGGGATACAAGATATTCATGGACCTCAGGGCCTTCATTCATTCCAAAAATATTTATTAGCCACCTATTAGGTGATTAAATACTAGATTAGACCCTGGAAATAATAAAATGGAGAAAGGCATATGAAGAAAGTTATAGAAAGAGTAAACATAAAAATTAGAGCTTGTAATTTTGAGATTGAGAAAATTTTTACATAGCAGAAATATTTTTTTTAATCCATTGTAGTTGTAAAATCACTGGCATTTAAGAATATGCTGTATTTGACATAACTATTATAAAATCATTCTGCTATGTACACAAGTATTTAAGTATAGGCTATTCAGACAAGAATTACCCATGTGCTAACATACTGTAAAGGGACAAAAACTTGAATTACAGTAGAAATATTAGCTGACTGCTGAATTTAAGCTCTAATATCTTTTGTTTACAGCATGAGTAGGCACCTCTTCAAAACAGAAGCAATTTACTTTAGAGAAAACTTACAAGTTATGCTTTCAAACCATAATGTCAAAAACCTAAGAGACAGATTTCTACACACGCGCGCACACACACACGCGCGCACACACACACACACACACACACACCATAGAAAAGAAGTTAGACAGGAATTCAAAGCTATTTGAAACCCTTCGAAGTGTACCTATACTTCTTTGCTACTGCTGCCGCTGCTGCTGTTACTACCAGTAAGTTCCTCTAAGGCTGCTTTCTTTTTATTCTTCTGCCCGCCTCCCCCCACTCCCAGGCTGGCTGCCTCCGAGTGAAGGGTTTAGGATCTGTGCCAACTGAGATGCCTTTTTCTCCCATTTCATTCAAAGGGATAGTTCTTGATTTAATGGGTGTGTTTCCAACATCACATTGGTACTATTTGCAGAAGTGCAGTCAGAACACAATCTGAAACCAAACACCAGCACGTGTTCTGGAAAGAATATATTCAATAGAATCCCAGATTGCATTTTTAATAGAAATCTTTTGATAAGATGTGTTCAAAGCATTTGAAGTTGCCTTTCAAAAAATTTTAAGTATCAATAAAATAGCGATACTGTACCAAACTGCATTTTGTCCTTTAAATCTTAAAACAAAAGATTTGGGGTAACATAAATTTCCAAACACAGTCCTTCCCTGTTTCTGATGGTTTTTCACTTTGTGAACAGAATGAACAGAAATAAATTAATTTAACCTCTGTATTATACTGGTGGTTTGGAAGATTTGACAATAGTGCCTGTCTTTAAATCAAATAACAGTTGTTAAAGAAATTCTGTTTAAAAAAGTTATTTCTTCAGTTGAACTCAGAAGTTGTCAACCATGCCATTCCCCAACCTACTTTGGAGTGCTTTAGGACCTTTAATCTTTAGTTTTTTCAAAACCCATTTTGTTTTTTAGTAAAACACAATGGATGCTACTTTACTAGCAGCTGTCTTTTTGAAAGGTACAATGAAATTAAGTAATTTGAAAAGAACAAATAGCTATGGAGTGCCTATGTGCCTGGCTTTGTGGGTTGAGCAGGGACATAAAACTTTGCAAGGCCTGGTGAACACTTGCTGTTTGCAACCAGAATCCAGTTCGTTACAGTGCCACTCTACAGATCTCATTATTTTATAGCTAATATACTCTGCAATATGTCACTTCTCTGAAGGGCTATTATCACAATGTTCCTTTCCATGTATCTTCTTTCATCCATCTGTAAGCACTCAAAGATAGGGCTCCATTGATTTTTTCCTTGCCCAAATTCCATTAGTCTTTTATATTTTGATTCTAAGAGACTGGAAACAGGCAAATGGCATTATATATATATATGTATATATATTAAAAAAAAACTTCCTGCCATTATGCACTTACACGTATCAGTCAATAGCATTCCAGAAAGATCTGTCTTACTGAACAGTCTAATAATACCATTTTTTATCTTTGGTGATCATCTTGCCTCTCCATCAAGCCATTATGGAGGCAGTGGCTTTGGGTGTTACTGTTGTTATAGGAACAGGCTTTACATAATTGGATGCTTGAGATATCAATGAGCAACTTTTGTGACCTGATTGATGGTTTTGAAAGCCCCATAGGAAGGATTATTAAATTCTGCAAGGAGATCTTGGAAAGATTTTCTAAATTTCTGTTTACTAGTTCATCTAGTTATATACTGGGGTTTAATCAGAGCTTTTGGGAATTTCACAGTATTTATAAAGTACATTAATTTGTCAGAATAAACTCCAATATAGAAAGCGCAACTATCATTAAAATAACATTCCCCTTTTGCTAAAGAAGAAGTTGTAGTTAGAGAATCACATAAAATTTAAATTGATGGTTTTGGCACAAATCACTTAACTATTCTTAGCTTTGAGTTAATTATTTCACTTATGTGAAAATGTGGTTGGAATAAGTCTCATGATAAATTTCATTGCTTGTTATTGTACATATGCTAAATTACTACATATATATTTTTATTACACATACACACACAATCAAGATGCAACTGCAAGTCCTTGATGGTTATGCCTTTGTTTTATGATTTCTAACCAAGAAGAATATGAAGCCAAGGACTGCATCATTTCATGTTTCTTAACATTAGGTCTTGAAGATAGAAAAGTAACCACTTCTAAACCAAAGTGTCTGAGAGAAAACACAGCACTGTTTTCCTACAGTGAGCATAGATGCATTTCCTACAAGTAGAAACCTGGCTGACTTGTGACTTCTTTTCCTTCTGTTTGGTTTTCGGTATAGTTTTATACATTTTAATACTGAGAAATTTTGCTTTCAATTTCTTCCTATTTGGTAGGTTCTAAGAATCTATAGAACCTAATCTATCTATACTTTTATCCCGCTAGTTATGAACCAGAAGCTGGTCTAAACACTTTATATATAATCTTGGATAATCTTCATAACAATCCTTTGAAATAGCTATTAGTAATCCTGCCTTTATGAATGTGGAAACTGAGGCACAAAAAAAAAGTTGAGAAATTTCCCCAACGTCACCTAGCCAGGAAGTTCTGGAATCAGAATTCAAGTCCATGCCATCTAACTGTTTTCCTCCATCAATATCATTCTATAAATCTGCAGAGTATAAGGACAGCAAAGTTGGAGAGGCAAAGTCTGCACAGTTCTTTTTCTCAAGCCAAGTTTCAGTTATGAACATCTGTAAGTCAATTTTGTTTGGAACTTGCAATGCCAACTTTAGTATCTCGGACATGGTGGTATCCAAACACAAAAACCCATTACCTTGAACACTTGAGACTTTTATAGTATCTCATACACTATCACATGATCATAACCAAACAGGGTTCTTCGGGAATAGATCAGATCCTTGTCTGCAGTAATTTTCCAGATGCCTCCTTCCCCAAGCTGTCTCTGCCTTAGGCTTCTCATCCTCATTCTCTATCTCTAAGCCTCTGCTGCAAAGATCCTTTTCTCTAGTCATATTTCAAATGCTGATGCTCTTCAGGGCTCTGCTCACACCAACTGTCTTCCTAGATGGCTTGCTCCACAACCCCATCATTGCTACTAGCCCTGATGAGCCCAATCCCCAAACTTCAGATATGTGCACAACCAACTAACTCATTTTCCTGTCTCTAGCTGGACCTTCTCTATTGATGCCATGGTATCTCTAAACATAGTATCTGGTCAAATCTCTCCCCTACTTACATTTTTAGGATTACTTTATAACTAATCCTAAATTAGTACTTACTTTAGCCCATAAAGATTTTTGATGATTTGACTTTTTGTGGATCTTTCCATCCTCCCCTGCTATCACAACCCAGTCACATCTTTTGCTCTATCCATATGGAACTACTACTGATTTTAAGCAGCTTTCAGGATTATACATTCTGTCACTTACCTATGCTACTCTCTCAACACATACACACATACACTTTTAAAATGCATATGCTCTTTTTCTAACTATTCTTATTTTTCAAATTCAACTCATTATTACCTCCTCTGGAAACTTCCACAAATCTGTTGCCTAACCCGGACATTGATCCTCTGGTCTATACAACACTTATCACTTTGTATTTTACTTATTATTAATAGTAGTTTTTTGACTGTTTCCTATATTAGACTATGTGTACTCAAAGACCTTATCTAGTTTAATTTTATGTTGCCATGCCTAATACAATCTTTGTCACATGATATATGTTCCATTAAAATTTGTTCCATTAAAAAGCATTCAGTATATATAGGTAGGACATCTAATTGGTGAAAGCAAAGCTAGGAAATTTGTATTATCTCATCTGAGCACAACCCTTATAGGTAACTCTCATTTCCTTGATTTTTATGAAGTTTTGTGATCACTGAGCTTGAGTAATATACAGGTAGGATATTATCGAGGTCTGTTTTGTATCTCTATGGCACCTTAACTATAAGCAAAAAAGAAAAGATTTAAGTATATATATTCTTACACAAATGCACACACATTAAATAGCTATCACTGGTTATCAGCTTCTGGATTATCTCATGTCACCTGGTTATATGTTCAGTTTGACATAGCAACAGTTAATTAAGTTGATCTTCAACTAAGAGGGCAGATAAATGAATACCCATAGTTAGCAAAACACATTCCTGAAAATATAGCTGCACTTGCCCCCTTCCCTCCTCATTTACATTCATGCTTTCCTTCGGTCCTTTTGATGATGCTTAAAGGCAGAGAAAAGATGGCTCCCCCAAATCTAGAAGTGGTGTTGGCCCCAGGAAACCCAGGGCATTTTGTGTTCCAGATAACGGCGACTGTGACTGTGGCGAATGCATATGCAGGAGTGGCTGGACAGGCGAGTACTGCAACTGCACGACCAGCACGGATGCATGCGTCACTGAAGATGGGGTGCTCTGTAGCGGCCGAGGGGACTGCATTTGTGGCAAGTGTGTTTGCACGAACCCTGGCGCCTCAGGACCCACTTGCGAACGATGTCCTACCTGTGGTGACCCCTGTAACTCTAAATGGTAATGTCGTCTTTCTTCAGTCCCTTCTGTGCATAAGGTTCATGATGACCAAAGTTGTAATGACATCTTATAAGCTTTAACTCTGGTGGACGCTTGGTCTCTAAACATCCTCAAAACATACATATTATGCAAGGCTCCTGTGATCCCCAGCTCACTTGCCTCCTGGTGCTGATTATCCAGGAACACAAGGTCACCTAACCAGCATGGGGAGCTGAGCTGATGTCCCACAGAGATAACATCAGCTGCTTCTCAGCTAAAAGGCCAGCCATACAGGAGGAATAGCCTGGAGGTAAACACCTACATTGAATGTAGGTGACACCTACATTCAATGGCTGTTCAGAGAAACAGACAAGCTTCTTTATTAGCTAGAAGTTTATAGTCTGAACTTGTTGATTCACTCCCATTTATAGACTTGTGGAGGCAAAGAGGCAGGGAACTGGTTTTGGCCTTCTATTGCTTGCTAGTCTCTTGTTTCCACTCATGCTCTTTGGCACCTTTCTATGGTAGCCATTTTAGACAGCTATTGTGTATTGTATTTCCCTTTGTACCATAGGAACAACAACAACAACACATCTTTCTCATTTCCTTGCTAAAAAATAAGAATTCTTTGATTGGTATTTATTGGGGAAACACTTGAAGGTCAAGTGCGGCAAATCTCAACTGACTGCTATGGCTGAGTATGATGTGTTATTCCGCAAGCACACAAACAGTTCTTAGCTGCTTTAACACCAGTACCCAAAATGGTGACATTTACATTCTGTAAACAAAGTAAAAAAAAAAAAAAAAATCAATATTCACCATTCAGGTGTCACTGTGTCTGGACATGCACGAAGAGAAGTGTAGGGACATGGTCAGTTGTATTGAATACATAATTATAAAAAAAAAAGCCTTTCAAGGTGTTTCTTCTATTATTTTACTAATTCATCTTCTCTGTATAATGATTCATCTGATTTATAAGATATGAATTTAACAGTCCAAGTAGTCTGAATTTGGGGAATTGGGTAGTTGGTTTCCTTGGTACTTATGTTCATTCTGGTATTTGTCCAATCCTCCATTTATAAATGCATGCATTTATCAAATAGGTTTTAAGTACCTACTGTATGACGGAATCAAGTCAGGCCTTGGGCATGCAGCAATGACTGCCATGACTAGTTTCTACCATGACTAGTTTCTGCCATGACAGGATGGCACTACAGAGACTCTAGTGGGAAAGACATTTCAAAGAGTAATTACCGTGATAGTTACAAGAGGGTCCTAGAAAAATGCATGGAGCTGACAGTTGGGCTGTCAGTTACAAAGGGTCCCAGAAAATACATGGAACTATTTGGTAGGTGATGGGACTACCAGACCCACAAGGCATACATGAAGCACACAGGAGTATAAGTTTTAAGGATTTCCACAATCACTAGCAGCTCCCAGAAGAGACACTCCAAATAAACAGATAACTCAGATTATTGTAATATGCTCATGGTGCAAAGGCAATTTCAGAACAAATAGTTCCTGAGTCTTTTCTGCATCAGAATTCACAGCCTTCATGGCAAGGGAATGATTGATAACTGGTCTAAGGTTTCAGAAAACCGTGCCAAGGGAAGGATGGTTTCAGTGGAGAATTGATGTGGCATGGTGGGCTAGGGTGTGTTTCAAGCCCTGAGAAGAGTGCCATGGCCAGGGGTTCTGAGGGGTGGCAGGACATGTGCTCACAGAAACACTTCAGCAGTTTTTGAGTTATTCCAAGCACATCGGTTTGAAAAGTGATTTTCAGCACAAGATTAATCTATAGTTTAAATTTGTGGTACAGATCAGAGTAAATTAATTCTTAGGTTGCATTCTCATAATATACTTTCTCTAAGAGGCAACCCTTTATTTAAAAGCCTGTATTAGTGAAGGCCCAGCCTGTGTCCTTAATTTTTGAAAATATCTTTATTAAGATGTGGGTGTACTAAAAACAGTTGTAGAAAAGTGTATCTTTGAAATAGTCATCAATGACCTATGATTTATTGGACTTCTTGTTAAATTCTAGACCATTTCCATTAAGAATTCCAAACTTTCTATTCCCTAACTATGTTAGCACCATAAACTCATCTCAGGAAAAAAATATGAAAGCAGGAAATCAAGCACCAAATAATGTTTTTTTTTTTTTTTCACTTAACCAATCAGAAGCAATTATTATAGATAAATTGCCTAGATAGTCTGGGAACATTGATTACAGATTAAAGCAGTTCGTTTGAGCCATTACCCAATGATTTTTATGGAAGTTACAAAAGGCAGCCTCATCTGTGAGACATTCCTATAGCACAAACTACAGAAAATGCATTTAAGCAATATCCCAGTTGCATATCTATCTCACTCCCACAAGCTAATAAACTGCTGAATAATGTCCACAGGAGCTGCATTGAATGTCACCTGTCTGCAGATGGCCAGGCCGGAGAAGAATGTGTTGACAAATGCAAACTAGCTGGTGCGACCATCAATGAAGAAGAAGGTTCTACTCATCTTAAATTGCTTTCATTTCCTTTGCAAACTTCTTGAGAGACACAAACTTTATGAAGGGCTTTTCAATAGTTAAACCTCATTTGTTCCAGGGCATTTGTTCATTCACATTAGTTTTTGAGAGCAAATGCATCCATAAGGCTAAAAACTTGATGGTTTGGAGGTATACGCAATTTGAAGTCATGCTTATTCTACTTGACTTGAGCTCCACTGGCAAGTTAGCCTCTTAACAAATGCAATTCTACAGAATTCCAGAATGCCGTATATTTTTAATTAAAGAATTGACAAGAGCTAAATGTTAACCCCAAATTCTTAAATTATCTTCTATCACCTGATTGCCTTATTTCAAGGAAGAAAAATCATTTTGCACCTGGCTTGGCCTAATAACAGCCCTTAAACAGAGTTTCTGCTTAGCATCCCTGTTTCTCCCCTCCATGGGCCATTACATCACCATCCATAATACCCTGTTACTTCATCTGCCACTACCAAATACAAAAAGGGCCTATTACCTTTAACTGCTAGGCAAACTGCTCTTGCTTTCACCTGTCATATTGAGATTTAATTATTTAAAATCATGTTCTTTCTAATGGCAAAATATGATTCCAAATACTGAGATAAGCTGGATTTCAGCTGGGACGGCCATTTAATAATTGTTAACTTTGAAACAAAGATGATGATTGACTCCTCCTAAAGGAACGAGCTGGGGGGTTTGTTTTTCCATCATCACAAACTGCATTATCATGTTGCTCAGGCAGAACTGCTGCTCTGCACGCATTAGAGACGCCACCAAGATGCATTGCAGGCAAAGTGGAATAATCAAGACCGTAATTCATGGCACTCTAGGATATGCATCTTGAATAGATGGAATTAGAATACAGAAATTAATCCAATTCCAAAATGGAATAAGTTAGTGACTTATATTATTTTGAAAATTACCTACATTGTTTCAAGATTGAGATTTCTGACTGTGCACAGTTGAGTAACTCTATATGGAGGGACATGATTAATGCTCGTACTACCCCTTGTCTGTGCTTTGATGCTGACTACAGATAAATATGCCAAATAGCAGTAAATTGGACAAGATGGTGTTTCCCTTACACTAACATGGAAGAAAGCATGTAGTAAAAAGCACTGAATAAACTGGCATTTGTGTACTGTTCACATTAGCGGCCAGTACAAAGTCTCAGCACATCCTTCAGGGTTCATATCACATCAGACAATGGGGATATTTACCAAGTATTGATGAAAGGGCTAAAAATGGCTGAAGATGCCTTGCAAGTTACTAGATCAATTAATTGCAGCTTGGGAAATCAATGTGCTGAGAGGATAAAAAAGTAAGCTTGCAAAAACTGTACATGATGAAAAGGTAGTTGCTATATTTACATATAGTTTCTGATCAGGTTACTATCAAATACTTGGATTGAAGAAGACTATATCTCAAGTGGCATTTGAAATATTCTTTTTCTTGTGTAATTGACTAAATTAGCCTCAAAATAGAGGAACACAACCAGCAAACTCAGAAATTGAAAAGAATGCTTGGTTTACTTATACCATTTGAAGCACTAATCATTGAAGAATTTAAGAGAGAAAAAAATTATCATTCTCTTTTAATGAGCCTTTCTATAAGTCTTTTCAAGCTACTTGCCAGGTATGTTGGGGTCACATCCTCTTGTAGTTAGCACAGCATACTTGCTCTTCCACAGGGTCTCTTAGCAGCCCACCTTTTCCCCAACAAGGAAGAGAATGAAATACATTGAGCACAGCTGTATGGCCCATAGAAGTAGTTAACTGAGCTGTGTCTGTGTGTGTGTGTCTATGGATATGTGGTTTAACTTTATTCATACCACTGCACTGTAAGGTGTTTTTAAATTTACTCCAACATTCATGTATTCAAAGTATGTTACTCATAGTGTGTTCCATGGAACACCGGTTCTGAAAGTATCAAATGGAAAAAAGCACTCATGGTCACGTAAATGTTAGAAATGGGAAGCTAGTTGTTTCCTTTGCAGAACTCCTGAAAGTTGTTATAAACACATTAAATGAGCATTATGAAGTTTCAGGAGAGGCAAATGGAGTTAAGAGTAAGGAAGTATTATGAAAGCTATTCCAGCACAAACTTTTTATTTTCTTCGGGAAATTGTTCCTGAGAACTTGCATCCAGAGCAGTGGTCTTAGCCACATAGTTCTCTTGATTCAGCAGTGCAGGTGGTTTATATTTGCCACATCCTTTCTGGACCCTGGCCCTCTCACCCCCATTCTCACATTTCTTCCTGTTCTACATGCGATTTCATGGATCACTTGAGACCACATTTTCACTGTATTATTCTAAAACAGCACTGACGGCACTCAAAGTTGAGTTTAGAAAGATTCATTTCTTATGAACCACACAAGGAAACCTAGCAGTTAATTATGCAAATCTCCTGCATGCTAGACCCTTGCACTGCACGCTCAATAATACCATTTTAATAGCCAAACACTACAAAACAGGCTAAATCTGGAGTCCTAACAGTCATGAAAAGGAGTGGTGGAGTAATTAAAGCGAGAAGGGAGTCATGCCTCAAAGGTCATATTAGCAGTTCTATTAAAACTTAAATAATTCTGGCCAAGTAAATTAAGCCTCCCTGTGCTTCAGTGTAGCTATTTAAAGAAACTAAAGCAGGATTAATATTATGAAAGGAGTATCATAAGCCTTCCACATTTGCTACCTGAGAAGTGAGCATTCCTGTAAGTATCCATACACTGGAGAGAACAGAGTGGGCATGGACCCTTGCAGCCGCTCGCGGCACAGAGGATGTGGGCCCTCGCAGCACAGAAGCGAGGTGAGGTAGGAGACAAACAAGAAAAAGCATGATTCCCATGAGTTCAGGAGTCCTTGCTCAAGGGAACCATATGGCAGGAAGCCAGCTAAAAACGACCAAGTATGAATGACATATGCAGGACTGTCCCTATCAAGCATGAAATAACACACATTTCACCAATCTTGCATTGTCCAGAGGCTTGCTAATTTCGTAACCAGAATCACCTTCTTAAATATCTCATGAAACACAAAGTCCCGTGTATATCACTGGCCTCTGGAATAAGAACACCTAGCATCTTCAGAACCCATGTTTTCCAAATTCTCATGTAATTTAAATACTGAGCACTCAGGAATGACAGATGAGGATGGTTTGTAATTTAATTTTTTAACATTCCTATGTAAATTGATGCTTCTAATGGAGCCAGAAACAGTTTGTCCACTCAAGTCTAACAACTGCAAATTTAGAAATAATGTTGAACATTTTGTTAGTCTATTTTCAAAGATAACACAGACTACACCTCACAGAACCTGATGTATGGTTTTGTCTTATAAATTAAACACAAAGGCAATCTAATACTTCTATCTTCCTATAGCTATGATGTTTTTAAATCACAGCCTATTATTTTTCTTAGAATCAGATGAACACATGTAGATCCTGTGTTATCAAAACATTTTTATCTTTAAAGATAAAAGTTTCCATCTGGCAAGACTATTTCAAAGATTATTTGAGGTTGTCCCAGTTTTCCTATTTTGATCCATTGTGTCATAATATATTAATGTTGTATCCTATGTCCTACAAGTTTTGATTAGAAGCAAACACTATTTACAAGTTCCTGGGGAAAATGCTTATAACCGTATCATTAAAAAGCTTCCAACTGTGAAGACAGAACTTTAAGCAAGTTTTTTTTTTTAAATTAGCAAACTGTTATATAATTTTTACACAGGTGCCAAATCACTAGAATTTTGATTAGTAACATTAATTAGATCTCAGGTTGACTATTTTACTATATTTTCCATTTCTGTCATGATGTTCATTTTTTTTTCTGCCTTTTCAGTAAGTTCACCAAGAAAACATTTCCATTTGGATAGCTTTGAAGAAAAGTTACCTTTCTTAAGAAAAAAAAAAAAAAAAAAGAACAGCTGTTCTTCATGATAGCAAACTACTATCCTGGGTTCTTTTGAATCTGGAGTTTATCTTTAAACTGCTGAACTACATGACACTAATATCCATTTCCTGAGGTTAATTTATATTTACTGTTGTGAAAACACCTGGCCAGCAATTCTGCCTATGCCTTTATGGGAAAGACCACTGTAGAAGTACAGTATCCAAAAATTTGGAATGTGCAATCTTTTCTGAAATGTAATCGAGGCTCCTCCCAAGGGCTCTCACTCAAGAGTAACCAATACCCCCCACCCCAGTATGATAACCAGAACCAATACTATCAAGATACCTGCCTCAAAGTACTTTCACTCTATTGAAATTCTGCCCCCACAGTTTAAGAGGTACATCTGATGGTCAGTTATGACCATCACCTGGCATTGCCCTGAGTAAAATCTACAAGTTGGTGGGAGAAATCCTACATCTTTTTTATTCCTATTCTGTAATGCCAAAAATTTCTATTTGCATATTGAAACTCAATATTACTTTATTTTTAAAATGATCACTGTTGGAATCTCATTTAATCTAATGAATAACTCCTTTATCTGCAGATTTCTCAAAGGATAGTTCTGTTTCCTGCTCTCTGCAAGGAGAAAATGAATGTCTTATTACATTCCTAATAACTACAGATAATGAGGGGAAAACCATCATTCACAGCATCAACGAAAAAGGTGGGTGTCTCATTCTTCATTGTCAATAGCAAGGTACACTAATACACTACTAAAACCACCAAAAATAAAACCTTTGGGTAGTTTGCCAGGAAAAGTATTTCCAAGTTTGTTGACTGAGTGCCTCTATTTTCCCAAAAGTTGTAAAAATCTTTAAAAAGGCTTGATGTATACCAATATCTCTTCTTTAAACTAGGAGAAATGTATTTGCCCCAAACATCTCCTGAATGCTGATGGACAAATTGTAGAAAGTAGAACGATTAAAAGCAAAGTAAGCAAAAGTTGTATATTTAGAAAAGGCTAACAAAGCCTAAGAGTTTAAGATGAGTTTGGAATCAGGTAAACCTTGGCCTGAATCCTGCTCCACCACTTAACAGCAGCTTGATATTCAGGAAGATACTTGCCTTTCCAAACATCTATGTCCTCATCTGTAAAATGGGGAAAAATAGTACTTTTTTCTAATGGTTGACTCAGGGGTTAAGCAAAATAATGCATGTAAAAAAAGTGCCATGTCATATCCTACAGTAATGAGTCACTAAATGATAATGCTAAATCAAAAAAGACGTTAAGCAGCAAATGAGCCAAACTATAGTTATTGCTTCTGTGGAACCATGGAGTTGGCATGAAATTCAGAAGTTCTCTACTAAAACTCTCACCTTTGCTAAAAAGAGACAGATAACTATACATTTCCATTCTAGCCAAAAATAAAGCATTCTCTGAAACCTTTCATGAGCCAAGATGGCACAAAGGAATGAAGCAGTGACTATTAATTTATATGAAAGTTTTTCAGCATTCACAGAAACCAAAACAACTTAACAAATCATATTACTTTAACACATAAAACCTGAAGTAGTAATTTATATGAAAGTTTTTCAGCATTCACAGAACCCAAAACAACTTAACAAATCATATTACTTTAACACATAAAAACAACTTAACAAATCATATTACTTTAACACATAAAACCTGAAACAGCGCCAGTGCATAGACACAATAAAACATTACCTGTTTTATAAAGTAAAAGCAGGAATCCTGTGATAAATATGCCTTTTAAAAATAACATTCAGTGTGGTTTCACTTACCAGAATCCAGAAGACAGCAACTTCTCTTGAAGGCAGAAAGATGATGATGGGTTAGGCTGAGTCCTTAGAAGTTGGGGTGGTAGGAGATACAGCAAACTGGGGTGTAGAACAGAGAGGAAGAGGGTCATCTATTAACATCTTCTTGTCTAAATTTAACAGGACAATTCAGTTAGACTAACATAGAAGTGTAGACAGTACTATGTCAAAGGTCACAGTTTGTCTTCTGTTGTGACTGATGGGGAGGCTTGAAATGCATCACTATGCAGGCATTTTGGCCTCATACCTTATACTGTTGGATTGATGAAAAAGTCATGTACTTTCTGCTTGAAAAACAGAAAGTACATCAAGACTTTTCCAACACCCCAATACTACACAGTTCTTTGTAGGGGCTCAGAGCATCCTGAAAACCTGCCTAAGCTTAGGAGCCCTTTCAAAATTACAGTCATATTTCTCTGCAATCATTGCAGCACCTCCAAATATGGCACGAATCTCACACTAGTACTACACATTCACCTCCTTTCCAACTCTTTAAAGTTTCTGATACCTTAGTACACAACTTGCACCAAATTCACAAAATAAAACGAGATAAAGCACAGACACTCACAGACACTGCCCAGCACAACGGCGGCTTGACGCTGAATGTAGTTCCTGGAAAGAGTTTGGGCGGTGATGCTTCTCGCTCCGCTGGGTTCTGTGCAGCCTTTATAAAGGCTCCCTAAAAAATAAGCATGGTTTTGCTCTTCAACTTTCCTTATGGAAGTGAAAATCCACTTTGGATTTCTTTCAATTCATGTTACTAATGTTGAGGATTTTTTGGTAAAAGCCAAGTGGCTTAAATTTTGAAAAAGCAGGGGGATACCTGTTTTAGGTAGGAAAAAAAAAAGAGAGAAAAGGCTTTTGGTGGAGGAGTTCTTAAATTTTAGTATCAGACTCAGCTGGGAAGCTATAATTGGGTCTTTATCCAGAGTCAGCGGAGATGTGCGGTCAAGGAGCCCTGTTAAAACACTACTCCAGGCTCCCCTCATTCAGAGGCCTGTAGCCCTCCTCTGAGCCTCAGTCTTAACAGCCCTTCTTGTATTCTAAGATCCTCACTGGTGCCTCCCCTTTCTGCTCAATTAGAGTTGCTGCCCCTAACCCTTGCCTACCAAAACTATCAGCTGCATTAAATTAGACTCATCAGATCTTGTGAGCCATCTCCTCCTCTCCCAAAAGCCTGGCACCTAAATCCTGTTCCCCCACAACAGTAGCCAGGGTAGGTTTGAGGGCAGATATGTTTTAAAGTATGTGCTTTTTATCAATGTACAGATAAAATATTAAGCTGCGAATCTGAAACCATGAATATCAAGCTGGCATCATTTAAAGAGTGTAAAAACCAAAGCATACTAGCATAACCAAAAAAGTGAGTTCAAGACACTACAAAACAACCAGAAAATGTCATTAGAAAAATATTACATGGCAGGGCTGAGGGTCAGGAAAAGGGGGAGGCAGACACTCAAGGTATGTGTGTCTTGCAGGCCAGCATTAAAGCTCAGGTGGGCAGCATTAAAGCCCCGAGGGCTTGCTCTTAATCTCATAGAAATCCACTTCTTGGAAATGCATATATAAAATGTATCTTAGAAGTCACTAGGTAAAGGGAAATCTGCTGTATAAAAATTACTTCATAATAAGAAAAACCTGCCTCCTCATTATCTGTTTTATAAAGTCAAAATCTTTACCTACACTTCCAGTCCAGTTGTGACTGTGTCAGTAGCTTTAGCAAGTGCTGCTGAAGTCAACGTCATTCCTTAAAATAGATTCTATTGGAAAAACAATTTCCAAACAACAGAAACTTTCAGAAGAGGCCATATTAAAAGTCAGGGACTTTTAATCTAGTTTTTGTTTTACTTGTTGTTTGCCTTTGGCTAACAAATGCCTCCTAGTGGCCTGCTTTTTTTTTTTTTTTTATTCTTCCATGCATTATAAGTGGCATGTCAACATACCATCCTTCTGAAAGCAGTGAAATGTTCTGATGCTTTTTCACTAAGTCATTTCATTCCCCAGGTCCTTCTGGAGTGGAGAAAGGGTGTGTTGGGGGGTGTGTGTGTGTGCAGAATTACCTCCTGATAGCTACCCGAGTCCCTGACAGCTCTAAGGAGGCTCTCCCCCAGAAACGTTCTTAAGGCACGAGCTTCCCTGGTCCCAGGGTGGAGCCCATTCCCTGCAGTCTGCAGCTCTAGTTTCTCTTACAAGCATGAGGCTAGAAAATCTGAGGGTGACCTGTTGGACTCAGGGCTAGAAAAGAAGCAAAGTGGGAAAGAAAGATGTAAATGGTCCCTAGGGTCCTCCAAGCAAATTGAAAAATGAACTAATTTAGCAGTCAATACCAGGGTGCAACTGACCAGAAGAGTGCTTCTCTCATCTTTTTCTTATATCTGGAGAAACAGAAACATTCAAATAAGGGTCACATATGAAAGAGCAGAGTGGAGGAATGAAAGCTGAGTTTTCCTGAGCAAGATGTGGGCAAAGATATTACAAAAGTAATCCAACGTGGAGATTCCAGGCCCTTGAGGTCTTCAGTATTAAAGGGAAGGGTGGTGCTGGGGAAAGAGCATTTGCCACAGAGGAAGCAGCTCTTATTTATTGAGTCCTTATTCATAATCTGCCAGGTATTGTTTTATGTATTTTATATGTAGTGCTTCATTTCATACACTCAACAACTGTATAAAACAGGTATGACTATTCCATTTTACAGGTAAGAAAGTTGAGGCATAGGTAAGTTCAGTAATTTCCTGGGTCTTGCAACAAGTAAGAGCCAGGCTTCTTGGTAATGGGCAGGCTGCTTGGAGCCTGTGCTCTTAACTACTGTGCTCTACTGCCTCCCACTGGCGATGCTCTCATGACAAACATCTGAACCCTGAAAACATGTTAGATCAACATTGTCCAACAAAAATACTATGCAAATCCCTCATTAATTTAAAATGTTCTAGCAGTCACATTAAAAAGGTAAAATAACAATATATTTAATCCATTGTGTCCAAAATGTTGTCATTTCAATGTATAATCAACAACAAAATATATGGAGGTTTTTTTCACACAAAATCCTTGAAATCCAGGTGTGTTTTACATTTACTACACCACATAATTCCAAAAAGTCACATTGTTAGTGTGCAACAGTCAGGCATGACAAAGCTCCCAGGTTGGCAGCAGACACTCAGGACCTTAGAATTAAATGCAGCACTGACCTGGGCCCAAAGGATAGAGACACCCTTCTTCATCCACCTAGATGCATGTCTGCACCCTCACATCCCAAGAAATACCAGCAAGTGAAAACAAGACTTCTTTGCCATATAAAACTTTTTTTGGTACTTGGGCCAAAATCTTTTCTTGAGAAACATGACTCCAATGATTTTAAAGTCTTAAAATAATTATCTCCGCCAGGCCATGCCTGTTCCTCCCTTATTTATTACCGAAGAGCCTCTCCTCACTCATTTATGGCTGCAGGATCTTAAGTTTTATCTTGTTTTGAGTGAGAACACACTGTGCCCTTCCCCAGACATTTTGTAACCACAGATGTGGCCAGTATATATTCTCATAGATGCCTACCTGCTGCTTTCTTCACAGGAGTGTTGCTAACCTATTAGAAGTAGCCATGGTTCATCTGGGATGCTGGAAAAGGTCTTTAGTGCTTTATACTGTAGTAGCTGTTTCATTAGCATCTTGACTTATTTCTGCAAAATGTACTTTTTTTTTTTTTTTTTAGCTAAGGAACAAAAGCCTGTGAGGCCAGGCACAAGCTGTTAGGAGGTCATTAGTCTCGCTCAAATTCAGATCAGCTATAGTCCCTTATCTTGAAAGCAGCATAGCTAGTCCTGTGTGTATCACTCTCCTTATTAAATATCTAAAAGCAATAAGAATTAGGATAAACTAAGCATGATTCATTTCCTCCCCAGATACCACAGAGTTGCCTCACTTCTTGCAGAGGGATGCAGATATTTAGTGATAATTTTTATGTGGGATTTATTTTTTCCCATGAAAGCAAGGGAGAGCTTAATTATAATGTTTCATTAAGACATGTATCATCTCCCAAGCATATTACAAGGATTATTAGTCATTCTGCTGTCAATGAGGGAAGGTACTGTAAAATTGGGAAATTATATTAATATCATCAATAGAGTCAAAATAACATTTCACACAATGTTCAAGTTAAAAGGACTATACGAAACACCTAATTTCTCAAACTTCCCTGAAGGTAAGATTCACTTGGGATACTTTTAGGAATAAAAACTCCATGACACCATTTGAGGCCCAAGGAATCAGAATCTTGGATGAGCCCAAAAGCCTCAGGCTTACAAAGCATGCACACGTGACCTTAATCGTAGAGTCAGGGAGGTTAAGGGAACAGAGAAATTCCATCTTTGTTTCACAGATGAGGAGCCAGGGGTTCAGAGGAATGAAGGGGCCTGAGGAAATTCAAACAGCTAGTGTATGAATCTGCTGGGAATTCAAGCCATCTCTACTGACCCAAGTCAGGAAATTTCCAGGACACAGGGCACTGCATTTGAACTGCATAAGAAAGGAAAGCCATGACTTTCTTCTGTTTAAAAAACAAAAAGGCAGCAAATAGTAATCTACTCAAGAAGTAGGTTTTATATAATCTCCTTGACTATTCATATTTCAAAAAAAATCCATGATAAAGCTTTATGTGTGTGCATGCAATGTGCATTCCTTTTCTACTTACCAGATACCCAGAAAAGACCATCTTTAGTGACTGAACTCTAATTTTTTCCATCACTGTTTAAATACTCCTGGAGTATAACTGTCACTCTTTTGGATTCTAACTCTTTTTGAATCAGTCATTTAAGTCTATAACCAAACTCTTTCTCTTTTGTTCTATGTTGATGGCAGGGTTGTTCTTTAAAAAGTAGATCATTGTTGAAAAATTCAGCAAAATCATAATCTCTACTAGCATAAAGTATAGCTGGAAAATGTAGTAAGAAATGTTTTCCCCTGCATCAGAAAGTATTTTTTGCATCACCTTCTTCATATTATTTTCATTGTTTCCACAGACTGTCCAAAACCTCCAAACATTCCCATGATTATGTTGGGGGTCTCTTTAGCTATCCTTCTCATTGGTGTCGTCTTATTGTGCATTTGGAAGCTGCTGGTATCATTTCATGATCGTAAAGAAGTTGCAAAATTTGAAGCAGAGCGATCAAAGGCCAAGTGGCAAACAGTAAGTGAGTTCTTGTGGGGTTTCTCTAGGAGAGAAAGTACCTTATGGCAGAGAGTGGGGTGAGGGGTCACAGGTTTCTTCTGCTCTAAAAGAAGATTAAAATGCCATGATCTTTCTATGCCCTTCTCACCATGTCCCCAACAGCTTTGATTTCTAGTCAGCTATGAGAACAAAGAAACCTCTGCCCATCATCTGGGACCCTAATGGTGTCAGGGCACACTCTTCTCTTCCAGCACATGAAACTCCTATGTATCTACTTAGGGACATCACAGGCATATATTTTATTCCTTATCACCAGGAGCATCTGCAGTCCCCATTCATTAAAGCATAGGTGCTGAATCTAAACATTTCCATAAATTGGTTATGTTATAGCTAATGGAATAATGTTCATGAGCACTATGACAGTTCATGCCAATTTCCATGGAAATAGTCATTACTGATAATCGGTTACAAAGCAAAATTGAGAAGACTTTCTAAAATACATCTAGTTAGTTTTTTTTGAATAACATAAATTTTAAATAGCGATCTGAAAAAAGTTATCAACCTTTAAATATATGTGCTCACTAGATATAATTTAGGTGTCATCTCTTCACACTAGGCAGACACAAAGCAGGACGCCAATTTTCTATGTTTCTATTCCACAGGAGAGATAATTACATTTCTAGAGGCCCAGAGAAACAATTTCATGGTTTTAATTTCATCTCTCTATCTCTAATGGTGTGTCCAGCTATCTAATAGCAATTATCTTACATTGCTGATTCTAAAAACAGTGATATCACCGGAGAAAATAAAGGCAAACACAATACTCCTTTGGGTTTATCTGCCCAAGTAAATTGATGTTAACACTTTTTCTCTAAGTCTATAATGATATCATCAATAGCTACAGCAAATGGAATTTTCTGTTTTGGGTAAATTTATCTTGATAAGGAATGTTTATATCTTATGAAGCTATTTTAAAAATAATCATAACATATGGTTCAGGATAGTATGTGATGAAAACTATCATCTACTTCATCTTCTCATTAAAAATGCCTTTAGAAAAATACACTAAAAATGCACTGTTTGAATCTTGTTTTGATCCTGATTTGATTTGATAGCAACTATAAAAATATATTTTAGAACAATTGGAAAAATATTAATATAGACTAAATGATAGCAAGAAATTATTATTAATTCAGATCAGTAGCTGATAATGGAATGACAACTTTGCTAATATATACATACTATAGTATATGCATACTTTGGAGTGAAAAGAAATAAAGGCTAGTCTGTTTTGAAATAATTCACAGAGTGAGGGGGATAATTGAAGTAAGTGTGGTAAAATCTTGATAATTATTAAATCTGGGTGATAGATCTACTGATATTAATTATATAGCTTCCCTCCTCTTTTACATGTCTTTTTTTTTTTTCATAATCAAACAAAACCCTTTAGGAAAGTAAATCATGGATTTGCAATGAAGATATAATTTATCCACCTTTAACAATGTAAAATGTAATCTGGTGTGTTAATCTGGGATTGACAGATTGATAGAGGGCTGCAACAGTTATCTTTACATGATCTCTTATAGATGTTATTTTTAACTATCACCAACTATGCCTAGCATCTCATAGAGCTATGCCTACTAATGATTAGAAGGCTGATCAAGTGAAAGAATCTAGCACAAAAAACAATAGCAGATGTTAGCTAGATCACCACCAGCCCTGGGAAATAGTCTTGGCATTTCCATTTCCATTTAAAGGAATTGAGGCAATGAGTGGTTAAAAGACTTCCCAAACTGTTGGCCCATGGTGGCGTTAAGGTCTAATTGCAGGTTCTTCCCAACACAGCCTTACCTGCCTGGAAATAATAGCAGGTGTCCCACAAACAAGCACTTAGTCAATTATCTGATGTGCATCTACTAACCAGCACATTTTAATGTTCTCATACAAAGCACAAGTTACTGACAAATGATTAATATCTTTAAAATAGCATTTTAATTAACAGTTAATTTTCCCAAAACATGAATTGTTTTCCCTCAGGATGTAGAACATGACTGAAATTCAAATGCCAGATTTTTGTTCTTCTAAAATGGAACAAAATATGCATTAAACAGATAAAAGCATAAATGAAAATATTGTTCCCTTGTTAAATTGAATTTCTTTGAATAACTAATGTTTGATGTTCTTGACTAGATAATGATGGATAATAATTATTTACTTGTTTGCAAAAGAGGTTTAATTCAAACAATTCAATTCAAATTTCACTAATATACCCGATTAAAAAAGAAAAAAGAAACTTCCTCATTGCATCCATTTGGGCATCCTCATTTTTTTTTTGTTTGCCCCTAGACCTTCTCTTTTCTTTACAAAATGAATTTGACTAGTCTTTAAAACTTATAGGTCCCATTTGAGTCTGAGGATTAAAAACCTCGTTCCTGCCTCCTGAAATATTTCATCATGGCCATAAAAAAAAGTTCTATTACTTTAAAAAAATAATAACCCCATATTCTGTATGGAAACACAAAGGGAAGATATTTAAATTCATCTTTGATTAGACATTTTTTCTAGGATGGCAACTCATTAACTAGCGGCAGAAACTGTTCTGCCTGACATTTCTAGCCGTCATGGACTGATTTTATACTGTGCTAAGCAAATCAGGTCTGTGACGGGCAGTTAGACAGTCATTAAGAGAGCAGTGGGTCATGGCAGAGAGATTACTTATTACCACTTTTTTTCAAGCTCTAAAAATGTGCCATTGCATTTGCTGAATCCATAGCCTAATCAGCACCCCCAAGTTCCTGGGGCAGTCAGCCTGGTCACCACAGATGTTTAGGGGAATTGACCTTTTCTAAACAGTAAAGAATATACACCACCCAAAATGGATCCCCACTAAGTGTGTCAGCTGGGGATTCTATGTAGGGAGGATGCCACTCTAAGCTAGAAAGCAATACTGGACACTGCCACACTTCCTCCTGCCAACAAAACCTAATTTGAGTTCATTTCCCGAGCACTGATCATCAGCTGAGTCAAGGAAACTTCAGCTATGCACACCCCGCCCCCCCCAAGCAATATGGACTTTTAAACTTTCACTCATCCTCTCACCCTCTGCTTTGTCCATTGCTTCCTATTATTATGCCCAGACCTATAACTAGCTTTTAAGATGATCCCCAAAATATTGTAGATACAAATAAGTAAGATGCTTCAAAATACATAAGGGACTATGATGACGGTTCATGGGTGGCAAGAATTTTACAGACTCTTTCTCCTGAGAGGAGAAAATTTTCATTGCACAAGAAAAAACAATGATATAAAATGTACATATACATACACACACACACACAAAATTACACAGTGAAAACTGCATAAAAGGAAACATTCAACTGTCTACAAATATGGGATATTCAGTCAATTGCAACTCAAGTCACCTCCCTTATAGTGCATATAAATTATATTTATGTGGGGTGCAAGTGCATTTTGATATGTTTGATATGGTATGGGTTGGAGCCTACAAAATTTCTCAAGATCACAGCTGGCCCTGCTCATACCGTTAACATTCTGATATTTGCTTTTTTCTATTCCCTAAAGCAACTTCTTCCCTGGAAGAGTAAACCTACCCTTATTTTTAACCTGCCCTATGTTTTCTTTTTGATTAGGTCCCTGGTTTTTCTGTAGCCAATTTAAACTAAATAGCTTCTGGTCTCCTAAACTTTAATAAATTGCGTATATGTTCTTTATTTGTAAATGAACCTCCACCTGTATGTAATACCTCATCAGTCTGTCCTCAACCCTCCAAATCTCACATTCCCGTGTTAGCAGGACTAAATAAGGGCAGTGTCTTCTCAGAATATCCAACCTGCCTGCATGAGTAGAAATAATGTGGTGACTTGGTCTTCACTCATCTTTTCCCACCAAGGAACCACCCTCATTATCAAGGTAGTCTCTCTCCACAGGCACATGAACAAAGTTAATATGCTCCCAGAGTGGGGGTGAGGAGGTCAAGCAACTGGCTCTGGGTAATATAGAAACAGGTGCAGATGTGATTCCTCCTCACCATGACGAATACAAAGGCAGCAAGTAGACAAGGCCAAGGAATGTGTTTCAGTGTTACTCAGTTCTTCTGAAAGCTGGGAGAAACTTAATAAGAAAGTGAATACCAAAATGCCTTTTACAAATATCTGCCAAGAAATTGCTATCATCTCTATAATACATGAACTAAAGAGACCAAAGTAATTTAGAAGGTTACTTTATTAGAACATGGGTTCTAATGTACTTCAAAACAGGCTTGGAAATGTGTACCAAAATCATTAGGGGGAGAGATCAGCAAGCTTCCTCCAGGACCTAAAAGGAAAGGAAATTCCGAATGTGAAGAACAGTAAGATGAGGTTGCATTTGCTCCAAGCACTTTCTATATGTCAGGCAACATCCTGAAATATGTTACCTTATGGACAAAGTAGGTAGTTTGGTATGGCCATTTTAATAGATGAGCACCCCAAGTCTTGTAACTGCTTAACTAAGCTCACCAAGGTGGTGTAGGGTTTGAACCAAAGCTGTCCAATGCCAAAACCTGTGTCATCAACTTGGGATACTAGGAAAGAAGACATTTCTCACCAATCATTTTGTGCCCACCTGGAACAGTTAAAGCAAAGGAGGGAAGCTGTAGGATTATAGTGGTGTTTCCTCAAACACCTAGGAAGAATTAATCCTCTGATCTTGGTGACAATGTTCAGCCAAACAACTCAGCTGAGTGATCCAGGCATCAGAAACCAGCCTCTTCACTTTGCCTGACCCACCTGGGACCTGTTTCCTACCCTGAGCCAGTCTCCTGCAATTCTGTTTACAGTCTTTCCCAGAAAGAAAAAGCCACATAGGACTATTATACCAGAGTAGCTATTTTATTTTCTGGGGATCTTTCCCTGCTTCTATCAGCAGTTAGTTATTAGTCCTTTTGGATTTTGACCTCATTTTAGCAAGATTATGGGTACTCTGATTTGATGCCTCTCACCAGCAACGTATTTCTTAAAGCTAAATACTGTGTATTTCATACTTGTGTGTATCTACCAGTTTACTCTTCCTGTTTTTTACTTTACATTTTGCTTTGGGGTCACTTATTGGTTCTTACTATTCAATTAATAATACTGAGTGCCTACCAAGAGCTTGGCACTGTTTTTAGTGCTGGTGAAACAACAGTGAACAAAGCAGTCGAAGCCATAAAGTGAAGTTGCATAGAGCCTAAAATGCTGCAGTATGAAAATCAATCAAAATTATTCAAAAGGCTTCCAAGATTAAGCCAACTCTTTCTTTATTTTGTAGTGTACAATGAAAAAAATATTTAGGTATATTAAAAGAGTGTTAAAATAAAATAAAGTATACATACTTTCATTTGACCTTTTTTTTTTTTTTTTAGGGAACCAATCCACTGTATAGAGGTTCCACCAGTACCTTTAAAAATGTAACCTACAAACACAGAGAAAAACAAAAGATGAGCCTTTCCACAACAGATGGCTAGAAATACTTTATGCACAGAAAAAGTCTGTCTCACTGTTATGAAATGTTAATGCACTATTTAATTTTTTTCTTTGTTGGTTTAAGATAATAATAGGTCATTTGGATATCAGTTATTCTCAGTATGAAGGTTAGAGACTATGTTGACAGGTTCAAAATCAAGAAGAGAAATATCCTTAGCAAAGGGGTGACTTTGGGTTTCAGTTGAAGAATAGTAACTCTGGTGAGTTAATGCCTCAAAAAATCATCAAAATGTTTCATAGGGGCCTGATTTGCATTTGAAAAATGTTTAAAATTAGAATCTCATTTGTTGTAAGCATACAGGTACCTGAAGTCTTGGTCTCAGCAAAGTCACAAAGTCCATATGCTCACATTATACACTCACACTTGCCAATTACTTCTAAACATTTAGAAAATCTGCCCTTTCTTAAAAGGAAGATTTTTAAAAATCTGTCAAAAATGAGACTCTGATTTTACTTCAGCAGCAATGCTGCAATTTTTCTAAAGACGTACCAAATACAAGAATGTAAACGTAGCATTAGAAATTTTGTGGATTTGTGTGATGAACTTAAAAATTTGGTACAGAAATAAGTGCTTTATTTGTTTTATTGCTGAGAAAGAAGTGATTTTTAATTAGGAAGTCACCAATAAAATAAAAAACAAGATAACAGACTTATTTAATTTATGATTACTTACCTGAAAATTAAACTTCTATGTTAGTTTTCTACTTCACCTCCCATACTTCTAAATCTATTTTACCATTTTACTCAGTTTTATGGTCTTCCAAATCCTGTATTTGTCATATGAAAGTTTTAATGACTTTGTTTTTAAAATTTCCTTAACTGGCTAGTTTATACAAAAAGACCTCCAGTAATACAAAAGGAACATGAGTAAAACAGAATAAAACTGTAAATGGTTTTAAATCAAAAGTACTAATTCTCTCATGAGTAATAGGCATTTTCATCTATATTCTTTTCCCATTTTCATAATCCCATGTACACACTTCAACTGCATATAGTGAATATCATATTGACTTTAAGCAGTAAGATTTTACATGCAGATAACTAGGGATCCTTCACTTGACGGGAGAGATGGACTGTACAGAATATAATATCTTGTGGTTATGACTGCTTTACGAAACACTTTCAACTTACTTGATCCTCATTAGGAAATAATGGTTCAGAGAGTGAATAGAACTGAGTCCAAAATCTAGATTTTCTAATTCTAGCCCTGTCCTCTTTCCATGGCCCATGACTAACTCTTGCCAGTAAAATAGTGAAAGACATTTGTTAAGACATAAAAGACATTTGAAAATGTACTGAGACTATACACCATTTAAACAATGGGAGCACAGGTGAGATGTAATTTCACTCAGTGTTTATTATACTTGGGCTAATTATAATGTGAAATCATTAGCTAGGTGAATAGTTTATGATGTAATGGAAGCTCCATGTTTATTTGTTGAATTGGCACAGAGTTATCTATGATAAAGTTCTTCAGCTCTGCTGGGTAAATCTGTAAACAATTGAACACACTGGTAGAACATTTTTTTTGTTTGTTTCTAAATAACTCAGGTAAATCAGACACTTGGGGAGACATAGCTATATTGAAAGAATGACTAAATAATCAGGTTGGGAACCTGGAGGGCTGATGTGACTTCAGTGTTCCTGACTGAGGCCCAGGGTCAAGAGAAAATCTAGAGCAACAAGGAAGTTGCAATACTGATGACACAGCTGTAGTTTTCACCTTTATATGTGATATTTTGTGTTGTTACTGGAGTGGGATTTTAGAAATATAAATTTACTTTGTGTGTTTATTGGGGAAAGTAGAGAAGAATCTGCTATTTCTCTGAATATTGTTTTGACCCAAGGCTGGACCTTGAAAATGTCAAAACATTAACAGTAGTACTTCTGTTCACTGAAGAGTTATGTTACATGAAGATAAAAATGTGTTTTTCTTTTTTGTAAGTTGTTTTATTGTATTTTGTGTTGATATAAATAAATGTGGTAATTTAAATAGTACCTTAGGTGGATGATAATTCCTTTTCTACACTTGGTATATAACCCTCTTGTTGGAATTCTGAATCCCTGTATGACTGCTCTGACCGCCTTATTGATCTCAGTATGGGCCCAAACAGGACAGTAAAGAGAGGCAGCCATCCAAGACGAGAGACAGCAGGGAGTCTTTACAGCATGTGTAGACTATTATATGTAAACTCTATAATTGGCTACATGGTTATAATACCCACATCAAGGGACTTTTCAAAACAGGCCTGGATATTACCTGTGTTATGTGAAATTAAGTTCTTTGGGGTTAATGCAATGGGATGAATTCTGGTGCCCTGAAAATCATGTGTTGAAGTCCTCACTCCTAGTACTTCACAATTTGAGTGTATTTGGAGGTAAGTCCTGTAAAGAGGTACTTAAAGTCATTGGGCTGAGCTTTAATTCAATATGATGGGTGTCCTTGAAAGAGGACACAAACGAAACGGGCCTTGAGGGAAGAGCACGTGGAGTCCAGGGAGAAGACAGTTATATACAGCACAAGGAAAGAACCTGCAGAAGAAGCCAACCCAGCTAACACCTGATCTGAGTCTACTAGTCTCTAAAACTGTGAGTGATTCCTGTTGTTCTGCCACCCACTCAGTGGTAACTTTGTTAGAGTGGTCCCAGAAAACTAAGCCAAGTAGTGCTTCCTAGTCATTCTTTGGTAGACTCCATGGTGACAGCCTTATTTTCCAAATCAGGAAAATCAAGCAGAAAGGTATTCAATGTTCACCAAAGGCATCCACTTTTTAAAAGCCCTTTTCTGGGCCCTCCTTGGTGGCACAGTAGGTTAAAGCACAGCACTAAGAAGCTAAAGCCACTTCAGCATGAGTTCGATCCCCACCTGCCTGCATGGCATGGCAGACCTCTCCTGACCTGCCCACTGCTCCCCTTAGCAGTATATTTCAGTCAATCTGCCTGTTCTGCTCCCCACTCTGTCTCTGGTGAATCCTCTCACCCCCCACCCAAACCTCTGGCCTGTATCCCAGTTCTGTATGTATTTAAAAAAAAAAAAAGCCCTTTTCTTAGAAAAGCCTCTTCCTTACAAAAGACAGGGAATGTTAGGTCTAGAGAGCTTATATCCTGAAACAAACTTTCTTAAAAAGTAAAGGTCAGAGGGGACCTCCCTGGTGGTGCAAGAGGTTATGTCTCAGCACTATGAAACTATCAGCAGTCACTGCAGCATGAGTTCAAGCCCTGGCCAGGGAGCTAACCACATGGGGCATCAGACCTCACCTATCTTGCCCGCTGCTCCACTCAGCAGTGTATTTTAGTAAATTCTCCTGTTCTGCTCCTATTCTGTCTCTGGTGAATCTTCTCACCGCCCTCCCCCCCCAACCCCAGCACCTCTGGCCTGGGCCCAAGTTCTTGTATGCACAAATAAATCTTTAAAAATAAAAGTCAAGGTCAGAATCTAGAAATCCAGAAACTTCCCATTTTGAGTAGGACCAAGAAAGTAATTTTGTCTTTAAATTTTCACCAGTAAGATGGTAGCAATGCCTATACCTATATGTGGCACCTATAATAATTCTTGATACCTAGTAGGATTTTCATATGTTGTTTCAATCAACATTTTTTATTGAGAGCTTAGTAAATGATGAACACAGATCCTATGATTATGGATGATGCAATGAACCACAAAGGAAGATCCAGTTTTCCAAGAACATCTGTGGGATTTGTAAATTTGTTACTGACACAAATGGCGTGAGAATTAAATCTATGCCTTTCCAGTGCCCTGTCTTTCCCAGGGTCTAGTTCAAGGACCAGCTTATGAAATGACAAGCTGCTCAGGCATCCACACTACTTGCTTTTTGCTGGTTGTACAACCAAAAGGGAGAAAACAGAGTCAAGTTTTCCGCCCTAGAGTGGCTCAGAGGTTCTAGCTAACTTAGAGATTTCAATCAAATCTCTAGATATGTGTTTTATGAGGAAATTTATTGGTCAACTAATATTTTTTTTAGCCTGAAACATATTTACCTTCAAGGTAAATACAGTTTGCATAGCAGTCTATCCTGTTTCAATATCGAAAGACAGTACATTATGAAACTCATTTTGCTCATCAATAACTGTGAGAGGTCATTACATTTTTTTCAATTCAACTGGTTTTGCTAAACTTAGGATAGGGGATGTGTGTATGTGTGTATACATACACATAAACATGCCCACGCTACATAGTTCTTCCTTATTTTTAGTAGATTTATTAGTATTTAATACTTATTTACATCTGTGCTATTTAATAAAGGTATCTTACTGGATACAGATATTCTTTAATAGATGTCTCTATTATTTCTTTCTCATGTTAACAGAGGTAACTTACCTGTATTAAATAACTCACATTGCTAGTAAAAACAGGTGACACCTGTTCCAAATGCTTTGATTATGCTTCATCATCCAGACCAAGTTTATACCATCCTGTGTGTGTGTGGAGGGGGTGGTTATTGTTAATTTCTCCTATTTTTTAGATGAGGAAACTGAGGTCCACATATGTTAAATAACTTTTGCAGATCCCACGCACAACAAGCAAACTTTGAAACAAGGATTTGAACTCACACAATCATAAAACTAAGTTGTTAACTATTACGTTATACAGTCAAATACCACATAGTAATATTATTACAAGAGAAATAATAGTGATAACAAGTCCTTATTATCTGCTATAACCGAATTATGCAATATGGCACCACATTTAGTCCTTGAGAACTAGTGTTGTTTTAACATGTCACTAAGAAAGAAACTGCTACTCAAAAAGCTATAAATGTCAAGGGCTGGACTTAGACCTAAGCATATTTCTCTCTGAAGTCCTCCATCTAAGCACTGCTATATAGAAAGTCACTGACAGACTCACCTTTGGCCCTGCCCTTTCCTCTGTATGCAAAGAAGGTGCTCCTATAATCAGCTCCTGATAAGATATGTCTTAGAGTTGCTTTCCCAGATGTAGTAATAGATTTGCTCTGATCCAAGCAGGTTTAACTGTTGGGTTATGATGAAATCTAGTAGTAAAATAGAGGCCCTTTCAGGGCATTAGACTAATCAACCAAATTAGTGAGCCTAAGAATCAGCCTGGGGCAGGCACATAGGGCTCAGTCCTCATTCTTGACAGCCTGCCTGCCACTATAAATCACACATCTCCGTGGACCCCCATGATGCACACTCATGTGCAGTTCAACATCACAAGCTCTGGAGGCAAAATATAGGTCATTTTGGATCTGATGGCCTTAGCATGTCAAGGACTCTCTTCTCAGCAGCAAAGACTTCCACATCCAAGCAAGCATATTCTCAAAATGCCACTGTTTTATGTTCAATGGATGGAACTGCTTGTCTGAGAGGAGACACTCCCTCTTCCTATAATGTCCCTGCCTAGTGTGCATACTGTGGTCCCCATGATGACCCTGTTCCCTGGAAGCTGATACAGTGGAAGCATCACCTGTGAGCCTTCATTCAGCACAGCAAAGGGCTCTACCTGCTTGATAGTGAAAAGAAGTTGGAGAGAAAAGATGATGGCCAAATGCCCCTCTTTGGTAGCTTTAGAAGGGATAGACAGGATAGGGGAGGAAGTGGGGTTCGTGGTGATAGAAATGGAGTTTAAAAAGTTCATGACTGTGGCATAAGAGTTTCCCCAATATGGGAATTCTGAAGCTCTTGTCTTTATTCCCCCCTAACTAATGGAGATACAAGTGGTGATTAGTCTTTAAAATGAAAGATTATGACCATTTAAAAATTTTTCTTTTAAAGTTCTTTTCAGTATACATTGTATAAAGTTCCTGGAGTTCAAGTTATGATGGCCTTTATGAAATGTCTTAACAAAAAAATACACATTAATGCTTTCATGCTACTAATTAATTTAACAGTTCTTTCTTTTTTTAAAGATGTAGTTATCTATGCATATAGAATTGAGGTACAGGCCAGAGGTGTGGGAGGGTGAGAAGATTCTCCAGATACAGAGTAGGGAGCAGAAAAGGCAGACCAACTGAATACAATGCTGAGGGAAGCAGTGGGTGAGTAGGGAGAGGTCTGCCATTCCATGTGGGTCATCTCCCTGGCTGGGGATCAAACTCATGCTGCAGTGGCTGTGATTGTGTCATGGTGCTGTACTTTTAACCCATAGGCCACCACAGAGGGCCCTAAATTAACAGTTATTTCATATCTCTTCCCCTTTTATTATAAATTAATTTGTTCCATATGTTGCTTTTAAAACTTGGTCTCCTTTATTGTTTGTCTCCTTCTATAATGACAATATTCTCTATATAATGCTATTAGTTTTATAAATACCGAAATGGAATAATAAAAATTAAAATTAAGTAGATTAGCCATGAAATGAATTTTTGTGTGGTTTTAGTATATTAAATACCTATTTTATTAATTTCAAGTAGTGTGTCAGACTTCAGAAATCTTTTTACTAAGAAGATGGAATTGGAGAAGAAATACAAATAAAAAAAAGATTGAAAACATTGAGCATAATCAAAGATAAGAATTTATTACGAAGGCAGAAAAGAATATACAATATTTTTCTCTGAGGCTTTCTTGGCCATGCCCATTGTTTAATTCAATCAAATCTTATATTCATTTTAAGAAATAACATCTTTAGAGACATGTTTCAATAAAATTCTATGATTCATTCAAAAACCTGACAATAGTTTCATCTCTAGATACACACAGAAAAGCACACAATAAAGTTTTTATGCGGATCAACCTTCGCAGTACACAAAATAACCATTTAATATGGTAAGCTTAGATTTAGGCAGTGACATGATGTGAATATCTGTAGATAGTTGTGTTCATTTACTGAGAAGTTCTATCAGTGAGAACAATCTGACAGATGCCACTATCCTCAACTCGGTTTCTGTTATTTCACTACTGGCCGTAATCTCACCTATTTCCTAGGATCATTGTGAGAATTAAAAGGAAGAATGCATTAAAATATTGGGGTTCTCCCTGGTGGCGCAACAGG